AATATAAACATTAATATCGTGAGTGAAAATACATGTAAGTGAAGTTATTGTCGGTGAATAAAGTAAAGCCGAAGCTGTCGGCTCCAAACATGGTGACTCCCGGCAGCAGCAGCTAGTTAGCTTAGCATGTAGCTTGTGTTTTTGTTGTTGTTCTTATCTCTAATAAAAAGTGTCAAAAACTGTTTATCATCCGTTTATACAAACTAATATTAAGTAAAACAACTCTTTAATTACTTAATCTCTTTTCAAAACGCTTAATAACAAGATACAGATCCTGTTTGTTACATTTATTATCATATTAATATAATTATTATTATTACAAAGCGTCCAAATGTGAGGTACTTGTACTTGAACTTGAGTATTTTCATGTCTTGCTAATTTATACTTCTACTGTTCGACATATTTTACTTTCTACTGCTTTAGTTTTATCTGACATCTTTTAATGACTTTACTCCATGTTGTCCAGCTCAGGTGGCGTCGCCACACCTGCAGAAACACAAGTTTACAGTTTGAAAAGATGATTTCTCGTGACCGAGATGAAAAAGTACAAATCAGACCAACAAGTCAACACTTCAGTTTGGCTGCTTTATTCGTGCTCAAAGGACAGATCTGGTGCTGGGTACACCGAGTCTCTCACTCAATGACAGAACTTATATAGAAGATTGTTCATTTAATACTCAAACCAGTCCTCAACTGAAGCAGACATTCATGCACCTATCCTGACAGCTGATCGATATTTGTGATTAACTGTGATCCACCGCATCTTAACTCAAGTGTTTGTCTTTTATTGTCATTTGAATTTTCACAGGTTCAGTTTCTTACCTGCAACTTCATTCCTGCTGTTGTTGACAGGTGATGGTAGCAACACTTTTAAGATCAGAATTTATAAATATTAAACTGTGATTAAGTGATGGATCATCTCTAGCACTGTCACCACCTCCACAGGTGAAAGTATTTACCAATTAACATCAGCATGTTTTTTGATCCTTCATTGTCAGTGTTGTCAGACAACATTTAAACATTTCTAGTATTTATGTTGTTGATTAAAGCTAACATAGAAATAGTCACACAATGCTGTACGTGTTACTGTTGTGAAGATTCATACCAGATGTGTTCTATAAAAACCATCAACAGAGTTAAAGCAAGAGCTTCATAAATAACTTTATTGGACATTATAAACTACATTAACTTAAACAACTAACACCACTGGAAACATGTATAAAAGAATGTAATAAATGGATGAATTAAATACTGTAGTGTACAATTTACAATCAACTAACTATTTAAAATCATAAAATAGTTGTGGATGAAGTTAAAGCTGAATTTCTCTGTCATATGTAAGTTTGCTTAATAAAAAGAAGTAGTTGAATCAACAGCAACTGAATCTTTAGTAACAAGTATAATCATTATTCATCATGAGTCCTAATGTGTGAGACAGTTCATATTTATTTGCTCCAGTAACAATCTGTGTAACATTAAAAATATTATATTATCATATAAGACAGTGTGTGTCTGTTTGGGAAGAGAAGATCTTCATGTGTGGACACTGCAGGTGGAGGTGGTGCAGGGCCTCCATCATTGCTGCAAGAGGTTGTAGGTGTCCCCAAAGATCCAGACTTTGGCTGGATGGAACAAAACATTATAATAGAGAGAAATCAGATCAATATCATTGTAGGAGCCATTTATTATGTCTGTTTGTTTGTTGTTTATAGGTGACGTCAGGCCATATCACGGGTGGTAGCTGCAGGTGGTAATGGCAGGTGGAGTCTATATGTGACACAGGTGCAACAGACCAGGTAATCAGGCATGGGTGACGGGGAGATGTCACGGTTTTTACCGCTTACACGCCAGTTTCACTGTTGCAATGGAAAATACCGTCAACAGAACTCTTTAATAAATGAGAATGAGTCTGATAGTAAACATTGCCTGGACCTCTGTTCTTGGAAGCGCGTTAAACCCAAGTCTACTCCCGCACCCAGCCGGGTGGCTAAAGTCAGGTCTGGATAGTCACCACATGACGTAAAGACCTTGATCTCACGTGGACAGCCGACGTCACTTGGAGCACACACCGCAGCGCTGTTGTCTCCTGGATCACGGTGGAAGCTTCCCAACAGCAAAGAAAAGTTACGATCGCTGACACCGATGAACATAAATCAAAGGACGTCCCCGGTGAGTGCATACACCTGTACTGATGCGTGATCGCTTGTTGAATCGGCGATGCCTCGTGTGTGCGGCAGTGGGCTGCTTTGAGGATGATGGTGTGTTGCATTAAAGACCTTATCGGCTGTACAGATTATCGCTCAACCCTTGATGTCTATGAATGTGTCGTTTGGACAAGTTGAAAGTTCACAGGTTGTGTCCTCAACATAGCGCAGCACTTGTGTTGAAGCGTCTTCTCTTAAAATAACAAAACAGATTTGTGGAAAATGAATGATATGCAATTTCTGAAAGGCAAAGAAAATTGAAAATAAAAATCAGCACTCTCTTGTCTTCTAAGAAAATGTCTGTTGTGCAACAAAATATTAAAAAGTTCCTCTACCTGAGGAGGAGCAGACAGCAGGAAGCATGGTTTCATTCAAGAAAGGCGGCAATGATGTATTTATTGAAGAAATATCAACATGTTTGAAGGAAAATGGAATTTTAAATGATGAAGATGGTGAAAATGTAAATTATGGTGATGGTGATAAAAAATATGGATGATGATGAAGACAAAAATGCAAAATCAAATCAAGATGATATTAATCTTGAAGACAGTGTGTCTAATGTGTCTAGTCAAAGGTCAAGCAGAAGTCATTCTCATATGTCATCTGCTTCTAGTATTTCATCTGCACGTGTAAAAGCAAAGGCAGAGAAAGCAGCTTTGATGGAACAAGCTGTTGCTCTGCAAAGGAGACATGAACTAGAGGCACAAGAGAAGAAACTCAGACAAGAAAGAAACAAGCTGAAGAACATAAAGGAGCAACTGGAGCTTGAAACACAAATAGCTGCTGCTGCTGCTGCTGCTGCTGCTGCAAGACTGTCTGTGCTGGAAGGCAGTGATGTTGGAGGAAAGGCCCATTCAAATGAAATGAATTACAATGTCACTAATGGACTGAAGGAGCAAAGACTTGAATTCAATCCAAATGCAAATGAGTTTGTGCCCAAAGGGAGCAACCCAACTTCAGATCAAGGCTCAAAGGTGTCACAGGTTTTATCTACACACAGTGGGAATCCAAAAGTGAACACACAAGTACAACATCATGTGGACATTGACCATCTCAATCAACTACTCTGAAGCCTGAGTCTCAGAATGTTTTCACAGCTTCAACACCTGCACCTCTCAGGTCTGTAGCTACACAGGAACAGCATATGCATCACTTTCAATCTGCACAGAACATTTCACCAATGCAAAGTACAGTTGACCAGGATGCAATTTGTGGAATCATGCAAAGGCAAAATGAAATCACCTCAATGCTTCTCCAACAGTAAATGTCATCTACTTTACCATAAAAAAACATAACTGTATTTGATGGTGATCCATTGCAGTGCATTTCCTTTATTAGGAATTTTGAGCATTGTATTGAGGAGAGAACCAACAGTTATCAAGACTGTTTGTATTTCTTGGAACAATACACCAGGGGGCAGCCCAAAGAGCTGGGGCGAAGCTGGAGTGAGGATATCACAGGGCAAAATGTCTTTTGAAAGAACACTTTGGCAATGAATACAGAATTGCAACAGCATATATGGATAAAGCATTTGGAAGGCCTGTTATTAAACCAGAGGATGTTCAGGCGCTGCAGGAATTTGCATTATTTCTAAGAGGTTGCTGCAATGCTATGACAGAAATACAATACATGGAGGAGATGAATGTTCCATCAAATATGAGGCATGTTGTCATGAAGTGGC